GATCATCAATTCATATTTGATCTGCAAAAAATTAAAAATTATAAATGATTATAAAGCATTTAGATTATTATTAATTCAAAATCTAATTGAAGATACTTTAAATATTTCATTAAAAGAAAATTTTACAATGATAAAGGAAATAAAATAAAAAATAATAAATAAAAAATTTAGATTACTTCAAAATTTAGATTACCAGCATGCAGATTTATTGGTAATGATCATTATTCTAAATATAATGATAAAAGAGATAGATGTTATGATACTGATATCTTTTTAGAAAAAATAATTTTTTATCTTAATAAAATCTACCTCAATCTTAAATTTGATATTCTAGCTTTAGTATTCTAACTGCAATATAGCATTATATTATAATAAATTTAGACTGAATTGTTTTAAAGATTTTTATATAGGAGGTAGTCAATATAAAAGGAAAAAATCTACAAATTTTGAGTAATTTTAGTTATTAAGCTATTTTTATTCATATAATCATAATCAGCAGAGTGAACCAATAAAAAAATTTTTGACTAAAAAGTGGATTCCCCCTTTTCTACTGACCTTCCCTATATTTGTATTAAATAAATAATCATTCTTTCTTAATAATAACTTTACAATTTTATTTCTAAAATTTTTTATAATAATAAAAGTTGTAAAATATATTAAATATTACAATTTTAGTTTAATATATATATAGTTGCAGTGAATATTTAAAATGATCATCAAAAATAAATTGAAAAAATTTTTTGAAAATTCAAAAAATGAAAAATTATAAAAGTTTAATTAATAATATAATAATATTAAAATCATAGAAAAAATATAAATAATAATTTAAACTTAAATTCATAAAGTAAGCTATATGAAAATAAAAAAATTTATCAAATTATTTAAAAAATCTAAAAAAATAAATAAGATGTGAAATGTGAAATTTGAAATTACGTAAGCAAATTTGCCTGTAGATCCTAATAAATTAAGGGATAATTAATTAATCAATTCTACTTTTTTAAATTGATTCTTAAGCATAGATGTTTAAATTTACCTTTATATAATAGAATAAAGATATTATTACAACTACTAAACCTTTTATAATATTATAATTATTTATATATCTATAAAACAATTTGTATTTATAAATAGAAGAATTTAATAAGAAGTAATTATGATAATTATTTATTAAACTTAATAAATGCTAATGCTAATCATTAACTAGTTAAAACTATATAAAATACAAAAAATAAAAATCAAATAAGAAAACTGAATTTAAAATATAATGAAGTTATAATATGAAACTTTATAAGGTTAAATGACAAAAATAATAATATTACAATAAAAAGGAATTAAGGCAATATAAAGAAGGATGAAATTTATATATTAAGTTATTTAAAGAATTTTAACATATAAAAGCTAAGCTAATAAATTATATTATAAAATAAAAAATTAATTTTAAATATATAATAATTAAAAAATATTATGTTATAATAAATATTTTCAACTAATAATTAAATTGTTTTAATTTTAAATATAAAGCTAAAATAATTAATAAAATAATATCAAAATTTTATTATTTAAAATTTTACTATTAAATCATTATATTATAATTAAAATTTTTGCTATTATAAAATACATAAAATTTTATTATTAAAATATTAATTTTTGAAATACTTGAAATCAATTTCATAATACTTGAAAATTTGCATCTTATAAGATATTATTATAATAATTTTTGTAATACTTAAAATCAATTTTGTAATACCTGAATCAGTAATAAAGAAGTATGATCATTTAACATCATTATTTCTATTTATATACATATTGATAGTTAACAGTACATAGTATTGATTGTGATCTCATTTAAACATTATTCAAATAATTAATAATGTTTTATATTAAAGGTATTCAAATTGATTAATTTCAAATTTGATGCATTTTGTGATTAACTAAACTAATTATATTTTTTAGCAAAATTGAATAAAATTAAGCTTGTTCAAATTTGATTAGTCTAATTTTTAGTTAATTTGAAGTTAATTTTGATTGGTTAGATCTTTTTATATAATATAAACTAAATCTGAACTTTTGAATCTAAAATTTTTCTGAAGTTAAAAATTCAAAAATAAAAAAACAAAGATAAAAATTAATAAATACAAAATAAATTTTTTAATAATTTTAATTTTTGTCATATATATTATACATGCTTTTATTTTTATTTTGAAATTAATGTTAAAAAAAAATTTAATCTAAAAAGTCAATCTAAAGTTATTTAATTTTCAAATTAAAATTATTTAATTTTATTCATTTAATTTAAGTGATATAAGAAAAATAAAAAATTAACTAATCAAATTTAAATAAGTTTATTAATACAATATTTTAATGTATTTTTATAAAATTAGAATATAAAGCTTATCTTTATTATAGAATTTTAGAAAGTAAGAAAGGACTTTAAGAAGGTTTAGAAAGTAAAGGTAAATTTTTTTTAGAAATTTTAACTATTTTTTAAAGTATTATTTAAATATTAGCTTTCTATTAGAAAATTTTATTATAAAAGTATAAAAAATAAAATGAATAAGCCTTTTTTTATATAATATAATTTATAATAGTTTGTGATAAAAAATTAAAAATTTTTAATTGATTCTTTAATTTATTAAAATTATTATATTAATTACATCTGCTATTTTGCTAGTATATTTAATATAAAATCTGATAAAATTTAAACTAATAATATTTTTTTAAATCTGCATTAAAATTTTATAATAACTAAAATTAAAAATTCTTATTAAATATCTTAAAATGTTGAATTTTAGAAGAATTTGAAACTTTTTAACTTTTAAACTTTTAAATAATAATGTTGATCATTTTCAAATTTATATCAAAATCTAATTTTACATTTTTTGATTGATATTATATAAATAAATAAGAACTTTAATAACCTAATTGCTTACTTTGCTAATAAGAATCTTAATTTTAATTTTGTATAGTTAGTTTTTAGGTGATTTGATCATTTTTATACATTTTTTTTAATTAATAATTAAGATAAAATTCAAGTATTATGATCAATTTAAATAGAGATATAAATCAATTTTTAAGCAATCTCTTTCTATCTTTTTATCAATTTTATTTATCATAACTAAAAAGACTTTAGTTTTAGCTTTTAACATATCTTTAACAAATTTAACTAATAATTTATTATTACAATAATAGAAATAAATAAATAATATATTCTAATAATCATGATGAATAAATAATTTATTATTTAAATAAATAATATTTCTTTATAATAATAGTTTTAAATAAATAATTTATTAGTATAATTATTGTAACAATAATAATATTTTAAAGATCTTATTTTTACTAACTCTTTAAGTAATAATTTTGAATGATAATCTATTTTCAACTCTATTAAATTAGCTATTAAACTAAGTTTTATTCTAACCTTAGATTTAGCGTTTGCTTTAAAACTTTTAATATATTTATTAATAAATTAGCTTATTGATAAATAATGTTAGAAATTTATATGCTCATTAAGTAAATAAGAAAATAATAAAAAATAATATTACAATATAATGCACAAAAATATTAATTTAACAAAAGTAGGATTTACTTTAAAAATATTATAATATAAAGGAAAAGTTATAAGAACTGGTAAAAAAACTGTTTAAAATGATTAGAAATTTTAATGATATTAATAAATATTTAAAAAATGATTTAAATATTATAATACCTATTATTTATGATTTAATTTATAAGATTAAACTTAAAGTAGAAGGTTAAAAATTATGATAAAATAAATAATCTATTATTTAATCAAAAAGGATTATTATTTATTATTTATTAACTAAATTCTTATTTATAATTATATAGAATAATATTAAAAAATGAAAAAATACATAATTTGAAGAAGGAAAATAAATTTTGAATTCTTATTAATAAATAAACTGAAATTATTACTGAAATTATAAAGATCAATATATTTATATTAAAGCTATGATTTGTGACTATAACTAATCACATGATTAATAAATTTAACGAAGTAGATGAATTAGATTAATATGATAAATTGGTTATATTTAATATATTAGATATATTATTTATATTCATTATATTTGTTAGTTATAATTTATTTAGTAGAATTAATATATATCTTATATTTATTTATAATTTTTATATTTATCATTTATATTTTATTTATTATATTTTATTTTATTGTATTTTATTTTATATAAATATCTTATATTTTTTCTTGAATTAAAAAGTAACTTAAGATAGGATTTTAAAACAAACCAAGAGTTTAATAAAGGAATCTTATCAATTTGTTTGCTATTACATTTTATTGTGTCTTCATATAAGTGTAATTGTAATAAAATCTTGTATTTAATTTGACATATTAAATTAAAAGTAAATCATTTTTATTTATCAAGCCAACAATTGCATGATGAAAAATGGATATCTTTAAACAATATTTAATGAAATTTTAATATAGAATAGAAAGTTATAATTATTAATAAGCATATTGTAATAATATTATTTTATAATTTGTATGGAAAGTAATTAATATATTTTATTGCATTAAAAAATTAGCCAAATATTTGTCATTCTCTATAAATCAATATATAATAATTAGGAAATGTTTTCATTAAGTATATTCAAAGAGGATATGCTGTATTAGCGATAATATAAGTTTCACTGTTCAGGATGTAAAGAAATTTAATGATAAAAAGATGAATGATAAAATACTCAAGAATCATATACACTTCCTATTTTAAGAAACATTATGTAAAATATTTTTTATCTGTAAAAATATAAATAAAAATTGTTTATTATCTGCTTCTTCCACATGTATATAAATAAAGTGCCCCTAATGATCAACAACTGAGAAGATTAAAGGAATGAAAACTTTTACGATTAATATAATATGCATCATTTTTAGAAGTGAATGAATAGGTATATGTGATCCATCCATTACATAAATAATATTGGGTAGTTTGCGATTTCCTAAACCAGATTCTCCATGCTCAAACCCCTTGTATTACTTTTATTAATTGTGATCCTTGTGGCCTTGTAATTCGTTTTTGTTCTAAATCCAATAATGCTTCTAAGAACCGATCGGTAAAATTACTTACAAATCCTTGACTTACTCCAAGTGTTTGCTCTATTACTCGTATTCCTACTCCATTTGCCAATCGCCATAATACAATAGCAATTTGTTCCATATAGGTATTGCGTTAGATGAATCTAACATCGAATTCAAAATAGAAGGTTAGAAGAATGTAAATGTTAAATCTTGCATTTGAATATTTCGACATCTTTATTTGCTGTAAGAATTTGTAACATTAAAGTAATATAATAGTAATATAATAATTTTTGGCGATGGTTTCGCTGAAGAACCTTATTTGTTGCTCAATCAATGTAAAATTTGACCAATCAGCGCAAGTCCAGGATTTTTTAAATGAACATCGCAGTCGAATTTTTTTAGCCAATCAAATCATTCAAGAAATCATTGAGAGAGGCGCTTAGCTCCCATATATATATATAAAAAAAATAATAATTAGGACAATCTGATCCTGGCATTCTATAATTTCGAAAACAATTTCAAGCGAAAATCATGATATTTCGGGCGGAATTATACTGGATAAAACAATAGTGAGCGGGAATAAACTCTCCTGAGGTTTACAAAATGGTTGAAGCTATTTATAAATAAAAAAAATGCTTTGCGGAAACTTGTTAGTCCAAATGCGTTAATATTCGATTAATAAATTCGTTCCACTTTTTGTAGTGTAAATATTTGAAAACTTTTTTTTTTGCTGCGACATGAAATTTTTCAAATAAAGAAAATGCTCCATATATCTACCTTGAATTTAGAAATATAGAAATTTGTCTAAATTTTTTAATGAGAAGTACAGTCAATACTCTTTATAACGAACTGACGGTTCCGTTAGAAAAAAAAGTTCGTTATATAAATTACTAGCTTCCTATATGAACCATTACACTTTTTTTTAACGAACTATTATTAAAATTTAAAAATTGCGAGTTCGTTATATCCAGTGTTCGTTATAAAGAAGTTCGTTATAACCAGTTTTGACTGTATCATGTGACAAATCTTAATACACTTTCTAATGACAAATGGTTTTTAGTAAAAATTTACGCTAAAGAAATATCAATGAGATTAAATTATGGTCATTAATAGAGAAACAATAAGCAGTTATTCTCATATCTTCATATAAATTAGCAATTTAAAGTAATTGTTAATAAGCGCATTATTACAAATGACATTTTCATTTATTTTATTATGTCCTATTTATTTTTATGATAAATAAAAACTTAACACAAGATCATAATATACCAATTATAACCTAACTGGTTTGCTGTTTTGTAACATACTGTAGTCTAAAGATTGATAATCAGAGGAAGTTATCCAATGAATATAAGTTTCCCATAACTATAGATATGAATATAGATCTCACTTCCTATTAAACACAACCACCAGTCAGTATATGAACTTCTTCAAGCCCGATTTGCTCGTCATCGTAATATTGTTCTTAGGGAGTTCACCAGACGCCTTCTGAATATTTCTGAGCGAGAAAAGAATGAACAATTCGATATATTTTCCGAATCTACTGAATTTGTTCCGATGGAACACAATTTGTTTTTGGAAACACTGGCCGATCCCGAGGAAGGAATGAGTTTTAAGTGGATTAATCCACATAAGAAGGCGTCTCAATAATTCAAGCTCCGTTGACACGAAGGAGGATTATTCAATGTTCTGAAAATTTTTTATTAATACGTGCGAAAAATCGTGTCTTAGAAAAAATAATGCGAATGTATATGCGATTCGCACGTCGCAAAGCCCCTATTCTTCGGCAAGAATTTTACTAATAATCTTCCGGACTAATTCTAAATTATTTAATGGCGCAGTACTGTACATATTTTTTCTCAGCATCGAACAATTTTATTCTAATGCATTACAATACCAACATATATATAAAAAAATATATGCAAAACCATGGGCGAAACTTTATTGACATTTATGTCCCAGACAAAAAACTATATCATGGCTACTATACCACATCAAAATATCATATGACTAGCATAGTAAATGTTTCTTACGAAAAGATACATTTGCTAATGTTGTGGCGATAAAGTTTGAATTTGCTTAATTTGTTTGATCCTATTGGCCCAACTCACTAAACAGATCATAATTAACCAATCCTTGCTTAGAATATAATATTATATTATGTTTTTCGAAATGAAAATAGCAAAGTATAACCCCGAGGCTTTTTTTTTATTAATATTAAGAGGAAATCACATGTGCAGTGTGCATAATTAATTAGTACATGAATTAAGGCAGTATTATTAAATAATACTAACGCAGTAAGTTACTAGCATAATTGAAAAAAACAAATTCACCCATTATATATAGTTTTCCTACTCTCTGTTTCCTAAAAGACAATAAGATAATAGTGATTTTAATGCAATATTAATTAAGGTTAATCTTAACTTTAACACATGCCAAGCAAGTGTTTCAATTCGGATAATTCCGCGTCCAGATCTTCTGTATTATTTATCATTTTGCTCCACGCAAAATCAATCCACCACACATAAGAATGACCCGTTAACTCATTCCTTTTCATCATTATATTTTCTAATCTAATATCACCATGTTTCACTCCTTTTGCGTGTATTTCCATTAAACCATTAATGGCCAACTGCTTTTCTTTTTCTGTGATACTTCTATTATTTGCAAAAGACTCTCCGGCAAACGATGTAAGTATAAATACAAATGCCTCGTGGAGAACCCCATATTTAAGAAGCTTTGGTATGTAGATGCCTTGAATTCCCTTGAGAGGTCCAAGGTACATTTTAAGTTCATTTAGGATTTCCTGTAACAAATACTCTTTTTTATATAGATCGACCATTTTAAGAGCGCCTACTTGTTCGTGAAGCTTGGTCATAAAAATAACTCCAGAACGACCATTTCCCAACACATCGCCAAATGAGAATTGGCTACGTTTATAATTTTTCATACTATTGAGAAATTCATTATCATTTAGTTTGTTTTTTCCTTTTTTTGATTGGCTGCGAGTGATTCTTCCAAAAGTCCTCCTCAAAACACTCCTCTTAGAACTTGATGGCCGATATTCATCATTGTCTCCGCCTTTACCCTTATCTTTATCACCTTTGTCCTTATCTTTATCATTTTCGTCTTCACCATCATCTTTATCATTTTCGTCTTCACCATCATTGTTTTTATCATCATTATCATTCTCACCATCAGTATTGGGTGGTGAAGAATGTGCAGTTGGATTTGTTGTAGATATAATTTCAAAATAATACATACATTCAAGGAACGATGCACTATCACTTGTGTGACTTTGATTGATATGAACTGTCGGAGAAATGTAAGGATTGTCAGGGTCTTCATCCTGACGATAAAAAAACCATGTTCGAATATATGTTGTAAGAAGGCCATATTTGAGGTCATTAACGACCATATATCCAAAAAGTTGCCTAACGATTCTGATAATTTTTGATGTCGAGTGTACGCGGTTGTTCCATCATTTTCTGTTGTCAATGCTGTGTTATATGCATTAAACAATTCGGTTCCATCAGCTACCAAAGTCTTCATCAACTGTTCAGGTTTAACTTCAACTGCTGAAAGTATCAGAGAGGCATCCGAGTCATTCAAAAGCTGTATGTTACCAGCACCACAGCGTATAGCATCTGGTTGGCCTTTGACAGCCCGACATACATAACGCTTACTCCAACGTTCTGGCGTTGGCAAAAGAATTAATCTCTGATTGTTGGTATCTTCCATCGTTTTCAAGAACATGTCAACAACAGAATCTTCGACAGATAAAGCCCCAGTGACATTAGGCTTGCTAAATATACGATTTCCTGTGTCAAGAGCTGTTGATGCATAAAAGGCATTATTAAGAAAATCATCCCATGCCAGAACCGGCATTTTAGGACTTTTTCTTGTTGCCGCTTTTGTTGTAGATTTTGTCTTAATCGAATGAATTTTAGGAACAGAAAGAACTGTTCGGAGAAGTTCTTGCTCGGTAAGTTCTTGTAATGTGAAAAAGAAAAGCGAGAATTAGGAGATGAAATGATAGGGAAAAAATAAATGTTTAATAAGATACAATCCAGGCGAAGTGAAACCGTGGTTAAGTCATCTCGCGTTAACCAAAATTATTACGACTCAATTACCAACAGCAACGGGTTTCTCTACGATAACGTGAATGTATTTTTAGGCGGGTTTGACAATAAAAAGCAGGAAAGAAAAGCACAAGAATAAGTAAGTATTCAGTATTGTTGGCGAATATGACACGGTGTGGGCGAGAATGAAGTTCGCTTACCTCCTTGAATTTTATTAATTTTACAGCTGGTCCGACTGGAATGCTCAAAGGTGGATTTACAAGCATTTCATATCTTAGTGCAAGGAAAGTATCGCCCTTAACCCTCTGAGTATATATTTTATTGATGTCTTCGTCTTCAAGATTTAATCTAGTTCTGTTCCCTTGTAAAAACGTTTTAATGTCATCTCGACTCCATGCCTTCATTTGCTCAACTGTCGGGAGACTAGCCGTAAGAGCACTCGTAGAAGTACTTGTATTTGCAATGTTGTGGGACATGGTGATTTTATACGAAAAACAAATGTGGTAACAGTTGTACAGTTCAGAAAAAGAAAAAATTTGCTGAAAGAGTAGCACGAATAGAGGATATATTTAATGAGAAATCGATTGTCGCACAGATTGGTGACTCGCGCTCTGTCAGTTGATCTAATATATCCATAGCGTTAGTATGAAAAGTCGTTTATGACTTATCTTAATACCGAATAATTTAAATACACATTTTATTATAAAATTAATCCACAATAAAAGTGAAAAGGTTTATATATCCTAAATACTTACATGGATCGTGTTACCTGCCCTCATATCAAGAGAGATGGTTCTATTTGTGGGGGAATCTGTACTCGTACTACTGGTTGTTCAAGGTACTGGAAATTATATGAAAAAAATATGAAAAAAAGACCATGCCTGGTTTGTGGATATTCTACTGATGCTGATTCGGGGTATTGCTCCAAATATTGTTCCAAATATTCTGCAAAGTTTCATTCGCACAATTACCGGATGAGGCAGAAACGTAAGGCTGAGACTGTGGCTATTCAGCTCGCAAAATCCTCTGAACTGTCTGTCAAGAAGTGAGCAAAAAATATTATTTCATTTATTAGCTAAGAATTGAAGAAGTCAGATAGCGCATTTTTGATAGTATGTAGTTGGGTAATCTTCTGCAGAATAATATATAAAATAATGGCAAAATAATATTTAATATAAATTGAGGGTAGTCTTCTGCGAAATTATTATATAAAATTATAGCAGAAGACTACCCTCATCTGAAGAATAATTAGCATATATCAAATAAATTTTGAATATATTCTGTAATTTGCACGGTGTTTACTTTGCCGGAAGATACTTTGCTAAGTTTTCTAATAATAATTCATCAGAAGTGAGTTTACTATAAGCATATCAGGCATCTTTTTCATTATTCTAATATACCTCTTCTCCTGTCTGATATGAAGGTAACTTGGATGCATTCTTATTATCAAACAAGCCAACCAGATGATATTATATGAGCTTCTTATGAGTAGCTTTAAATTTTAACCCATCTGTGGCATAAAGTGCTGAATTTTAATAAACCAAGTTTCGCTCGAACGGTTTTTAATTCTGATTTTTTAATCCTACGTAATGCATCTGTATTATCAAAACTCGAGTCATTTTGGGTACTAAACTCTGGAGAAATGATATTGATTCAAGAGAATTCAGACGAGTTTTGACATTGTCAGCTTTATATCTTGCTCTATCATTGACATCTCTAACAGACGTATATGTTTTTAGTAATTCGAGACAAATTCGATGTTTCTCAGCTCGAGTAGCTACAATTAATTTATCTTCCCTATAATCTTTGCGAGTAATAGCCTCAACCGCCACATCATTATTAATACCAGTATCTCATAATTGCTTATAAGCCCTAAACCATTTTATGTGATTATAATTCCCATACTTTGAGATAAAATTCTCAGTTAATGATTTAAGCAAAATCTCATAACAATCCATAATATGATATCGGTCTAAAGAGCACATCTCTTCTAAAGTCTTGCTTGGTTTATTCTCCAATAATTCATCAGTCTCACAATTGACAATAGTAGCATTAGATACATCTGCTATCTCCTCTACTTTAATGGTAAAGGAACACACCTTCACTATTTGGGATAATGATACTATAGTATCTTCAGATTTAGGAATGAGTTCCATAACAGAAATTACCATACCCACATTTCAGAGAAAATCAATCATCCTCCATCTAAATAAGTGTTGGAAATGGAATCTTTCTAACATATAGGCCACCCATAAACGAACAGTTAGTACATTCTTATTCAGATGATAAAGTTTATATCTGGAAATATTCCTCTATTCTGAAGTTCTCAGGGGAGACATTCGCGTTTAACATTCGACAACCATTGGAATAATTCTTTCTCTGTGACTGGAATATTAGAAGATCTTTGCTCAATATGATATATATAATCTTTAATGCACTGCATGCAGAATAGCATCTGATTCGTTTCAGCATTTATTTCTATATAGCTATTAAAGATGCAAAATACTCATTCAAACTTAGAATTAATGCAGGATACTCCTATTTTTAAAGTGCTTATATAGGTAACTAAGTCTACATCTTTTTATGATTCTTTCACGTTGCTGAAGTTATAGATCTTTTCTACTAGATCAGATTTGCCATGATATTCCTTTATCTGTAATTCTGAAAAATTAGTCTTAAGGATACGAACAATCCCTTGTATATTCTTCCTAAGATGGCAGATAAGTGAAGCACTTTTCTGATTTTCAAACCAAATACTATTAGTGAAATTATCTTAAAACATGTGAAGGATCATTGTGTTGAATATTTATTGTGTAAAAGGTAATAAAGACCTTCGCTTGACCCATTTCCAAAGTTCAGCTAATACTGTTTTTTTATTAAGAGCCAAGCAGAATATCTTACCTTTCTGAGACTGAAAAGTATTATGGATAATAGAGAGAGGAATATCCTTACAAAGGGCCTTAATCCATTTAATATGAGGTCAGTTAAGTTATTATCTATTACAATAATGTGCTTAGCCTCTTGGATTAATTTATATAATTTCTCTATTGACTGTCTAGCCAAATGGTTCTATGCCTGAACAATTATAGACACTATTTTATCAAGCCATAAGTCATATTGTATTGGGAAACATTTACATTTTTTACTACATTTACAATTATTAGTAATACAGTGTAAACTCTTTATTTGGCATACTACTCTCTTGTGATCAGATAGATTTATATTACTATCAATATCGCAATATGACTTAAGATTAAGTCTAGTAATAATAGCATTCAAATAGGAGTAGCGTGTGGATACTACTAGCAAATTTACATCATCAAATATAATAAAATATTCAAAAACATATGTTTTCCCTACTTTCTAAGGCGACCCTACATAAATATCTCCTTTGTCAGATAGTGGCCTCACATATATCTCCTCATATATTTTTATCGCTATAAGAGCTTTATTATATTTAACTCAAAATGGTAATTTTACGAAAGCTCTTAAAAAACCTAGGCCTTTTATCTTGTAAATGCTAGGTGACGAAGATGATTTTTTATTTTCTTGTCTAATTTTTTTCTGTGATAAATGAGTCAAATTCAAAAACTTCACTAGGTTTATCACTACCTTGTCAGAAGTATTTTACAATAAATATTCTACCACTAGCATATACATAACTGAACTACTACTGATTCTTGTCATATATACATTTATATAATAAACATTCTAGTGAATCTTTTCAGTTAAAATATACAAAGTTTTCTGAGTCCTTTTTTCAATAGTCCAATCTCTAAGATAGTTAAAATGCTTTTGCAAAATAAGATTTACGCTTTTTGCAATATATCCTGATTCATAGATATTTTTAGCGGATTATTATTTTTTTTTATGCTAAGCATTCAAGTCTTACTTTAAGTCTTAAGCTAGTAGGTGGTTGAACCCTATCATGATCAAGCTCATTCCATCCATTATCTAGTGAGAATTGAAGAATACGCTTTACACAACCTTTTTTTGCTAAACTAATTAAGCGAAGATTAAAATTTTGACCAGGCTAAAATTTTCACCAGTTATTGTATATACTAATTCAGTAAATGCTTTAAGTTCGTAATGATCAATAAGAAGAACTAGTATGTATAAAATATGGTAGCTACACTTGCTAGGGTCTGATGATGTAATGATTACTAATTCATTGAGAATATTCTCTCAACTACAATCAAGAATTTGATACAAAGCTCTTATAAAAGATAGGTAGATTTAAAAGAATACTTCTTATGCCTTAACACCAGTTACTTCCATATCTTCTTATGAAGCATTCATGTCAATCACTGCTCTTAAAGATTTTTGACCATTAATACATTTATGAATCTCAGGTAAGCCATATACTTCAGAAATATCATTAGCAATAGAAAATTTAGAAGCATGATTGACATCTTGGTCGATTTTTATAACCAATTTATTTTTCACTTCATTTCGATCATAAGTGTTATATAAACTAGAGTCTTTTTCATTTGGAAAGAGTACCGGTCAAAATCAAAAAATCAGACATATAAAATTAGCCTAAAATTAGCCTAAAATTAACTTAAATTATTAAAAATTAGCCTAGCCAATTGGCATACATCAGAAATCAGCTAAGAATTTGACCTATCTTATTTATAGCTGATTGGCATACTTATACTATCAAAATTTGACCTATCTCATTTATAACTGATTGACATCCGATTGGAATGATTGTATTGTTCCTTAAGTACGATAAGTATTATTATATCTAAGATACAATAGTTTTATAGTTTCTAAGGAATGATGCATTTTTTATATCTTAGGTATGACGATTTTATCATTCCTAAAATACAATAATTTTATTGTACTTAAGAAACGATGCATTTATCATTCCTTAGGGATGATTTTTTTATTATTCCTTAGGAACAATTGTATTATCATTTCTCAGAAATAATGCATTTATTGTTCCTTAGAGATGATTGTTTTATCATTCCTTAAAGACAATTGTTTTATCGTTTTTTAGAGACAATTGTTTTATCATTCCTTAAAGACAATTGTTTTATGCTAAATGGCCATGTCTGATTTGAGTTAATCAGTGTCTATCGGCATCTATTTATGCCAATTGAAAATATGACAAATCAGTCATAAATAGTATCAAATCAGCTTAAAATCAGCTATCTAATTTTTAGCTGATTTGAACTATTTCAACTAGTAGAAAAATGAATAGATTGAAAGGCAATCTAATAATCCTTTATCATCTGACATATCTTTAGACGATAATGCAAGAATCTTCTAAATAATATTTAGCAAATCTTTAGAGGAAATTTATTATTGATGTTTTCTTGTCTCAAAGTATATATCACATTGACCTTTCATTCTTTTATAACTTCAGTAGTGCTGATTGAAGCGTAAGAAGTTTCTTCATTACCAGATTCATAATTAAACTCATAGTTATTATAATCATCTGATTCACAATTAAAATCATTATTATTATAGC